AATCAAACATGCTTCAATAACAGTGTGTATAATGAACTGAAGGGGCTGAAATCTGCCCAGTTTCTACCAGTTTTTTATTGTATGCATGCTCCTCCCTCCATGGCCATTTAAGATCCAACCAGACCCCTGGTTCTTCAGAAGGCACTTGCCTGCATAATATGTAAGAAGATGATGGAGCAGTCATAACTAAAGATAAAGCAGATACATAAGCAGAGAGGACAACAAGCCAGGAATCTTGTTGATCCCTTCATAGAGTAGATAAGAAGCAAACAAATAATTAAGGAGACCCAAGGAAAAATGTCATCTGAAGTAGATAAAGGATGTTGAGCATAAGCACATGGAAACCCAACCCCCAATCCTATCAACAACTACCCAACCTTTAACAAGGCTGACATTATGAATCAACTAAACAAGGTCTTTGGAGGTGGGGTGGATAAGCATCTCTTCCTTCATTCCCCAAAGCCATTCTCAAATTCCATTATATCTGCTTTCTGTTTATGTACTATAGCCTGCCCTGCTAAAAAGAACTGAAAAGTAAAGTACTTAACACGTAATCTTTGAATTTGATCAGAAAATATGGTTTGAACAAGATGGCTATTCTCTCATCTCCCAGGGCTCAACACTAGCTCTTTATTCTTCACTGCAGTTGTCAGCTGCGCTTTTCACAAAGCCATCTTCCATCCGTCATTTCTTCCTCTGGAAACTGGGTTAGTGTGGTTGTATGCAGTTATTTCCTCTGCTGCTGAGGATATCCAGGAAGAGTGTTGTTATTTTCTTCTTTCCTTGCAAATTTTATTCCTTTGAAGATGCTGTTGATTGTTTTATGTGTCTTCCTTTTTTATTATAACAAAGGTGTTGTCCACATACTGGATTCATGTTTTTGGTTGTATGTGTGGGAGTGCTAGAGTTTCTATGAGTCATGGAAGTAGTGATGTAATGGGTATTCCTTTGATTTGTTGCTATGTTTGACCATCAAACTGAAAGTAGGTATTGTGGCAGAAGTTAATGAGATCCACAATTCTGGATATTACAGTTGATCAGTACCATTGCTCCCACGGATTATTTTAATAGTTGAGATCTATAATGATAACATTACCTAGTTGGGTAAGGAAAGCTTTGCAAGCATTCAATCAAATCCATAAATCATCAAGGACTCCACAGTCTCTGAATAGACACAGGCTTGGCACTTTTTCAGAAGAGCATTATACCCATGTTCAGAAGTAGCAATGCCTTCAGAAGTTAGCCAGGTTAACAAGTAGTTAAACTTCCTTCCCAACCTTTTCTTCTCAGGTAATTTGTGTGCTCTCATTTCAGGTTGAAAGAAGGAATCCACACTGATGCCGTGCTGATGTTTAGCAGTGTTATGAGGAGGAACCAGGCTTTGCAACAAAAGTCCAATTGTGCGAGACTGTCTCACTGAGGAAACATGGCTTCATTATGTTCAACCTGGACTATGGATTCCTCTCCTGACATATGGCTTCATTTCTCAGTCACCACCTCAGATTCCTTATTAGTGTTGTAAATGAAGCCTTCTTAGATAATCTTGAATTTTTCTTTACTTACTTTTATGACAACTTGTACATTGTAACTTTTTCCTTTTTGAAGTTTTTTAAAACAAAATATCTAGTGTTTAGGGCATGAAAACAGTGGAGCGTGTGAGAGTCCTCTTTTTCCAGAATTTTACCATAGTTTTGGAGTAAGATAACTGTACTGTATTTGCATGTGCTAGTAATTATATGCCATACACAGACCCACACAACTTCCTCCAAAAGCTCTCAGCTCTGATGAAATGAGCAGGAGGGAAAGCAAGAATGATAAAATTGTAACACACAATTAAATTAACACTAGCCTTCTCTATAGAATCCCACTTAATTACAGACATACTGTAGGAATTGATCAGTAAAAGTGGTTTTCCAATTGTTACAATGATCAACATCATTGAGCTCAAGTCTATGCATGGTTGCTCCGATGTAAGTCTCATTCAGTTCAATTGTGTTTTTATCCCCCAGGACAATTGCATAAGGTTTGCAAGATAATTTGCATATGGCTGATTCTCCCATATGCCTTTTTGATTCCAAGATGCATTCCTTGTACCTGTTGTAATTGACAAAGAAGTATTTCCTTCTTCAAAATTCAGGGAAGATGTGTGTAATTTGCACATTTTTTAAAAAAAAAAAATCTCCTTAGAAGGAGACAAAAATGAATGTGTACAACACTGGGATCAAGGGGAGGCACCAACTACAGCCTTATAAGCCTTGGAAAATTCATGATGGCCTTAATGTAAAAGCTGAACAGAAGGCATTCATTATGAAGATATGTACAAAAAATGTAAATTTATCTGTAAATAACTTTAGAATATGTATTAATGTGGCATTTTGGTTTCTTCCAATTATATAAAAAGGGAGACATAAAAGTGATTTTTCTGTGGATATTAGGTGCTCTATGAATTAGGCCTTTATTCTTCATACTTTTCTGGATACTATATGAAAATATCTAGTCTTTATGCTGTACAAAATCATCCTGTCTCCTGGTGGTGTTATTTTGTTTCTGTGGTTCACCTTTGGGATCAGTTTGGGAAGGAACCCTGAACTATTCTGATCCTTTTGTGACATTTCTGTATGATTTTATAGTTCTTTATTTTAGAAAGTAGTTAGGATGTAGCATTTTGCATCCACAATATCATTTCTTATGTCCTAAAATGTGGGTGGTCCATGTGGGAATCACCAGGTTTTGTATAATAGCAACCCCAGCTTCCTTCGTCATCTACCATATTTGCTAGAATTGATAGGAATCTGAGACCACACCTGAAGATGTGTGCATTTTTAGGCAGCTGGCACAATGAGGCCATGTGTATCATTATATCATGTAAATGAAGTCAGGATGCAAATGATGTTACTTGCTCTTCCACCCTCAGTTGTTCCAATAGACATTGTTTATTCATAAATTCATTATATATGTGCAAAATTGTATTTGAGGACAGAGCCTTCCATAACATTTATTATTTTATACAATTTATGCAGTTCCCCCATCTCAACAAAGTGATTCTGGGGGGCTAGCAATAAAAAAATGGAGCAGATATAATGTTGGGTCCTAAAAGCAGCTTTATAAATTGGATCTACTACCTAAAATAAATACTCAGTTCCTATCCTTTTTTGCTCTTTGGATATGAAATCCTTATTCTTTTCTTTGATTGTTTTTAAGGGGAGTATTTTAAAATTCTGTCTATAGCATTGTCAACTGCTTTATTCCAAGCAAATATATCCTTCTAATCAGAATTTGCAATCAGGTTTGGAAATTAATTGCTTAGTCCTTGTTAATTCGCTTAAAAGCAAACATAATTTATGTTGTTGCACATGTGGTATAAGGAGTCAGTGAAAATGATTAATTTATTTGGAAGAGAGGTAATCTGAGCGGAAAACATTTTCTATACTAGTTCATAAGGAGTCAGAATTATATCTGCATTAAAACAATGTTGAATGTGCACTATTTATTTCAAAAGCTATTCTGCTTATAGCAGTTGAGCACATTCTGCTATGTTGGGTTTCTGCATAACATTAAACTAAAAGAGATTGCCTTCACATTCTCATTAACCAAAAAGGTAGATTTAGAGAAACTTCACATATTTTCAAAATACATCTGTAACAGTTCACAGACATATGCTGTACCTAGATAATAGTAGGCTGTCATTTTACAACTTTATAAGTCAAATATATTTACACAGCAAACTTAAATATCGTTTGCTCAATTCAATTGGGCAGGATTCTTATGATACCTTGAATTATATCCATACTAATTGCGTTCAAGCAACATACTAAGCTTAAAAGACAGTGCCAAGCTTGTGGTCCTTTGTGGTGGTCTCTGTACTGTTTTCTTAAGAATATGCATATAAAGTATTTCCAGAAAACATTTTTTTAAACAAAAGAAGTGCTTACACATTGTCCCAAAGGTACTTTTTCAAGAGGCAATTGGACTTTCTGGTTTTTCTTTCAAGACGTTTTGCTTCTCATCCAAGAAGCTTCTTCAGCATCCTTTGCACTCTTTTTTATGTCCTTTTATAAAACAGAAGATTCAGATGATCTGTTGACAACTTGATATCCTGGTAATTTCACATTCTGGAAGCTCTTTCATCATTCAGTGAGGAAACTCTTTCTTCATTATCTTACAGTTCACCTACTCTTTAGCAATATTGTTGCCTATTTGTTTGATATAAAGTGCAGCTGGCATTGCCAGAAAGAAATTACCCAAAAAGTAAAAATAGTTTTATCTAGTTCTTAAACATGTGTGGAAAGTATTATGGTTTTAGGTACAACTTTTAGCAAGAGGTGCTTTGCATTGACATGAGTAACAGATCTTTAGCTGCATGAAGAGGTGCTGTACCCTTCAAGGTTCAACACAGTTGCTTCAATGGGTTTCTTGCATCAACTTTTAAATGTGTTCATCTAGCATATTTCAATTTTGTTTCTATATGTAGAATTGTGAAAGAGCACTTCAAATGCTTTAACATTTCTATAAAACAGAATTACTAGGGATAACAGAGTTTGTGACTAACTGAATTGCAGAGGGCCCTGATGTTTCAGTTTGATTTCCTTCATTTGCACTAACTGCAGTAAGATTCTTATTTTATTCGGTTTATCCTGTATCAGACCAACAAGGAATCCCTAAAGATATGGTTGTATGAATTTTTATTGTAGTCTCGGGAGCTTTTACTATAACCTCAAGGTTGTAAACCAATGAGTAAACATAAAGTCATAGTTACAGAGTAAATATTGGGGAATGATTGCCTTTTTTTATTCATTTGAATTCTTTGATCTCATGTAAAGGTTACTTGGAATTTTGCATTCCATTTATAACTATCTTAACTGTACACCTTGACATCACAATTTGGAACAGTACTTTCCAGTCTTTAATTTTTTCAGACTGTCACTAAAATCTTCTCAGGACCACTCATGAGCCAGAGATAAAATTACTGCATTCTTCATGTGGTTCTCCCTCATTCCCAAGTTAAAAGTGAATGTTAAAGAATAATCAGATTCTGCTGGGGCTCCACATTTCGTAAGATATTGGTGTTCTTATTAGAAATCTAGCAAAACTTTAGGTGAGCATGTTAAAATCATGGGCAATTTGTGATGTCCCAATATTTTGACCATTTAAAATTATATTTTAGTTTGGTACAGTTTTTAGAGACTACTTTCATTTCCTTGTGAGTTGTCCATACATCATAGGAACCACTCTCGACTAAGTATGCAAAATGTTGTGGGTCAGCGAGCACATTTAAATTTATTTATGTTTTTGTTTATGTAATCCTGCATTTATTATTTCATAACTAATACTCCTTCCTATTTTCTCCTCAAAATAATACTGTGAGGTAGGTTGGGCTGGCTCAAAATCACCCAGCCAGTTTTCATGCCTAAAAGTTGAACTTAAAACTTGGTATCTCACCTAACTATTAGACCAGAAAATATTCATAATTTGGAAAGCAAATTACTGGACAATGTACAACAAACCATTTTATTTTCTAAAAATGGTTATGTAGTCTATTTGGAACCCAGAATCATAATTACAATGGCAATTTGCATTTGCAATTAAGTCCCTATCACTTTTTAAATTAAAAGCATGTTTTAAAACAATAAACATAATAGAATATGCTACTGAGACATCATTGTCCTTTGGTACAGTGTTGGGGACCCAACATTTAGATTATTTGATCTAATTTTGTTTACTTTATTTGGGATATTATGTAGTCATTGAAATGGCTACATGATTACATTTTAGTAAAGGGGATTCAGGATGGCATCAAAAAACTTCCTATACATTCTCATCTCTATTTTATTCATTTTTGTTTGCAATAATTATGGGCAATGTTCTTAAGTAATTCACTCCATTCCAGTATATAATATCTATTTTCTCTGTGTGGGACATGGGAGTAACTGTGATATTATTCAAACAGCACAGAGGGAGCCCCATTATCTTCATCTTTAGATAGATTGGAATTATTTAATATTTCAGGTATACAATTATGAACAGCTAAGACTTAATGCATAAAAAATTCATGCTGTAGATTTCTGTTGTCCAGCTGTGCAATGAATAAGCAAGAGGAAATAGCCTGCAGTCTGTTTTGTTTTTAAGTATATAAGGAAAGGTGGGAAATAAAAGCAATGTGCAGTAAGTAAAAAAGAATAGTACAGATTTTGTTAGCATTCTTTGCTGTAGCTATTTTCTTCAGGTTCTATGTTAGTTTGAGCTGTGAATCAACCTGAACAGGATTAGGTTTAGCACAATTATAATATGTCTGTTTCTGCCTGTCTCTCCCCCAACTATCACCATCTTCTAATTTGTTATTGATTTAATTACTGGGTTTTGTTCTTTATTTGTGCATTGTTCTGAGCTGTAGTGTGTTGGCAGCCTTACACATGTAAATTATAAATAAATTATAAAATCCATAGAAAAACATTACATGAGCAAACTTCAAAGTACAAAAATGCTCAACATATAAGCTCCCTGGCATTAATGTTCACAATCTGGAACAGAAAATCACATTCAGTGAAAAAGCAATTGAAAACTGTTAATCTATGTCAAATATCATACATCATCACAATATATAAGCCAATTAAATTCTAATGACTAATGGGAAAACTATTCCTCTTACTTTGTTTCAGGCAAAACTAGGGCAAGGCAGAAGCCTTGGATTTTATATACAGGTGGTCCTCAACTTACAACTTACATTTATTCAGCTACTGGTTTGAAGTTACAACAACACTGGGGAAAATTATTTATAATCACTCCTCACAACTTTTGCAACATTCTGATATTTGTGTGATCAAAATTGGGACAAACGGCATGTATTTACAATGGTTGCAGTGTCCTGGAGTCACATGATCACTATTTGCAACTTCCTGGCCAGCTTTTGACAAACAGTCAGTGGAAGAAGCATGATTCACTTAATAACTTAATACAATAATCTGCTTAACAACCATGTGCAAAAAAAAATAGCAGGACTCATTTAACAAGAGCTTTTCTTGGCAATGGAAATTCTACAATTGTGGTCACAAGTCAGGACTACCTGTAGTTCAACCTCATGTTGCACTCAGTATATGAAACTTGAAATATCAGTTCATCCACAGATTTAATCCTTCAGCTTTCTTTAGTTCTGGCATGCAGAGAAAAACAAGTTTGAAACCAAATGCTGCATTCTGAAAGTGCCATCAAACAAAACTTGGAACCCATAGAGTTGTTCTGTGCTTTATCAAAGCAAAACTCAATTAGCATTTTGGCAATGAAAAACAGCTGTTGAATATCTGTAGCTCAGGATTGAACTATGGAGTTCTTGGTGGTTTCTGAGCTTGTTTGCTTGCAGTGCTTTTCATTAAGTAAATAAGTAATAAATTCCTTGCCTCATCAGTGTGAACAAGGAATAAACCACATTCCCACCAAGTGACATGGCAAGCTACTATATAAACAGGGACCAAACATCACACTCATCTGAATGGATGATGTTATTTAGTTGGATAATGGAACTTCTAGTCTAGTGAAAATAACTAGATAGAAATGTCCCAATATTGGGCTGCACAAAGAAGAGAGGATCAACCTATTTCCCAAGGCACCTGAAGGCAGGATAAGCAGTAATGGATCGAACCATATGGAACCAAGGAGTGCACCAACCTAGAACTAAGGAGAACTTTCCTGACAGAACAATTAACCAGTGGAACAGGTTACCTTCAGAAATTGTGGGTGCTCCATCACTGGAGGTTTTTAAGAAGAGATTGAACAGTCATTTGTCTAGAATGATAATAAGGTCTCCTGGTTGTGCAGGGGATTGGACTAAAAGATCTCCAAAGTTCCTTTCAACTCTTGTTATTCTGTTCTGTTAATTAAGCAAGCAAACAACCAACTAAGCTCAGCAAGCACCAAGGACTCTACAAACAAATCTGTATTTAAGTTAACCAGATATTTTAGTTTTATATTGACGTGTGAATATTGATACAGCTCCATCCAAGCAGATGGACTCCAATGCCATTTTCAAAATTGCCAACGTTGCCTAACTCAGACTCCCACTTTTTCATATGAAAAAAAATCAAAGCAGTACAAAAATCACAGGGCACAAGTTGTTCCTATTCCAGAAAACTTTCCAATACTTGTGGAATAAGTTGGTGGAGATTTGAAAGACACAATCATACTAAAATAAGCCCTCATTAAAAACCCGGAGGGTGGGGAAGATAACTATAGATGATGGCTTGACTAAGATATGCATGCTCTGTATTGGTTGTTGTTTTTTCCTATCTAAAGGCATCCTATATATCAGGGCTGTCAAACTTGTACCCATGGGCCTGATGCATCATGTGCTGGCCCCATTCCCGCCTGTTTTAATGAAGGGGCAAAAAGTCCTGATACATCATGTGACGCTGTCATGATGACACAAGTTTGACACCCTTACTATATATCAATGCCAACATAACACAAAATTCACATGAGTCAGCCCTCCCAGGTGACCCAGATGGGAAACAACTAGATTAGCTAATTCTACTGTAAGGCTATATTAATGGAATCTTGCGAGTCTGACAGTACAAACTTCCTGCTACCACTTTAGACTGCTTTGTCCATTAGGACAGGTCTTTCCCAAGCTCCTTCTCTGAGAAAAAGGAGGAGGAATTAGGGCATCTCTGTCAGCTTACTTTTAAATGGGAGACACATCCCTCCTGGAAAACTGCTTAAATAAATTATCCTTAAAGTAAATAAATTCAAAATAAAAACCATTTATATTCAGAAATTTACATTGCCTTTGTTTTCTTTTCTTTTCCACTTCGCTTAACTAGTCCTTAGTCACTGGTGCATTGTCATGGTTACTTATTTTTAGTAAGCTTGTCCTAATATTTCTCTTGCACAATCCATAATCACAAAATTTGTTAAACAGTATAATTTTTAATGCAGACTTATCTGAGATCAAATCCCAATAAAATTGCACCAAATTATTCTGAAATAAGCATGCAGGGGATTTGGATACATACCATATAGATCCGGCTAATTCGTATATCTGCATATCTGTGTGTATTATGCTTTCTTACTTTTTCATACAGATGGTTTGAGCATCTTGAGGAACTTTTGTTTGACATAAAATATTGTGAACCCTTGCCTAAGGGCTCCAGGCTTTGGTTGCACATACAATACTAATCAAACAACATGGGTTATGCAAGCCCCCTAGTGCCAAGCATGTTACAATACATGAAAGAAAAAGAGTTTATCAGCTATTGTTCATAAAATGCTACAGCTTGTAGGGACTCAGGGAAAGCCACGCAGGTCCGAAAAACTCAAGAATTCAGTCCTTAATTTAAGCAGATTTTCAGATAAATCCAATCATGTTTTTACAAGCACTGTCTGGCCTAGCTCTCTTTCAGATAGAGGTGCTGGTAACTTAGTGATCTTCCAGCTGGCTGGGTTAAAGCTCCCATCAGCCACAGCCAATATGGGAAAGGAAGTGGTCTTCCAACATTTACTCCTCATTAGATGTGTAAACATAAATCTCAGTAAGGTAGTTTTAGAGGTGACATTCTTATGGTGATAATAAATATTCTAACCCAATCAGATATTCTAACCCAATAAGCAAACGAAAAATTGTGCCTCATTGCTTACTTAGGTGATTTACATTTTATGGCTAGTGAAAAATCCCGATCTCTCAGAGCGTTTCAAACATTTGACAGTTGAAATTGTCCAAAGAAACTTTACATTCTCTTTACAGATCTAGTAACAAGAGCTGAAAGGATCTATCTGTTTTTTAAAAAAATAACTGACTTTTAAAACAAAGCTATAAGTACCATTTTTTAAACATCTGAATTAGCTATTTTTTCTTCTCTCTTTTTGATTATCAAAATTATCCATATGGAGTAGCAAGGGTACTTACCATGGAGACATACTGATAAAGTACAGTAGGAAAAAATGTACGCATTTCATTCTTAAAAGCACTATTAAGTTGCATTTCCTTTATTATTCAGCAATAAACATATTTCAGCAGAGAATACAAGGCCATATGTTCAAAGTCAAATATATTGTGAAAGAATAAAATTGAGTAACTATATTAAATTAAACAAACTATATAACACTTAAAATACATTCACATTTACATCATTTAGTCATTCAGGTTTGGTCTCAGCATCCAGGGACCAAGATTTTTTCAAGACCATTCTAAAACTTAACATATTAACCTTTATTTCACATTTTAGAAAGCCTCATTAATTTTGAGTAATCATAATCAACAAGAAGAAAACAAATAAAAGCACAGGTTGTGAATCATGCCTGGTCCATAGGCTATGGTGTGGATACTTTGGTTTATTAAAATATATGAATGAAATGTATATACAAAAACTACAATTATAAAAAGACAAAAAAATCTTACATATTTTTGAAAAAGGCTGATCTTGAACTCACATTAATAGCATCATCAATATGAAAGATTTTTATATTCACTTACGTAAAGAAAACTACAGTGAAAAATCTATGAGTCCCCCCCCCCCCAATAAGCTACATTGGCAGACACCCATGTATTTATGATATTAGCATAATATTTTACCCAAGAAAGGTATTTCAATTACAAATACTTAATCTATATATCAAAACACAAATCCAGTTTTCCAAATTTGCATATTTGTTGTGCTATATGAAAACCCTGTTAATATTTGGTAAACTGAAATGTTTTATTTCAGTACTTAGGGTAATGTAGACTCCCCCTAAGCATAATTAGCACCTTGGATATTAAATACTTATGATAAATCTTAGAAAACCATACATCTTAATGCATTAATTGTAAATAAAGCCAAGACCTTTTATGGGGAAAATCTAGAATAAAATAAGATGACATCTTACAAGGATTCTCTGAGCTTCAAATTTTTGTAGAAACAGTATTTAAAATAGAAAACCCTAAGCACCATTTGTCTAGACGAATCATATTAATTGACAGAATCCTGGACTGGATTGGAAGTCACTTTCAAACAACCACTTTATGGCTTTCAGGTTGGGTCAACCTGAAATATCGAGTTTCTATTTTGAGAGGGTTGGGATGCAGCTAAAAGGCAAATTGAGTGCTTTTTTCCTCATCATGGATGAGTTTTAGGAGATAAAATGCTATTTAAATTTTTTTAAGTATCCTCAAATACAAAAATGCATCTGAAAATATTGGTCCTGTCTATTCAAGTGACTCAGGAGCTTACCAACTGACAGAGCATAAGAGAAAGTGCTGCCTGAAGACCCAGAAGCAAAGTTTAACTCAACCTTCCATAGGAAGATGCCTCTCAGATGTACCAAGGCTTCAGTTTTCCTGATCCTTAGAAGAGTCACGTATAAGATGGTTTTGGAAACAATGGCTGTACTTAGTATCAGTTATCTCCTCAGCATTATACAAATCCAATCAGTTTAAAGTGCTTGGACCATACAGGCAATATGGTCCAAGCACTTTAAACTGATTGGATTTGTATAATGCTGAGTAGAAAGCAAGGAAAGTGATTAAAACATAGGGAAGAGAAAACTAATGAGGCTCAGAATCATCTATCTGTGTCATAATAATAAACCCTGCAGAATAATTTGTGGCAATAGTTTCTTTTAAAAAAAGAGCAAAAACATTTTAAAGTGCTACATTATTCCAAGAAAGATATATAAAAGAAGGGAATCTCAAAAAAGGGGATTAAAAAATACAACATTGTTTGGGTGGATGAGGATGTCTACTCCAAACTCTAAAACATCATACAGGGAGATATAAGAAAAGGAAGGGACTTGAGAGCAATTGGCAGGCTGAAGATATGAGATTAAAAAGGCATTCCCATGGGAGGCTCAGAATGTGGAAAACTGTCTCCTTTGTGTGTCCAAGGACAAACTTTGTTCTTTATTCAAGAATGGGTTACCTGAGAATTTTTATATCACACTGTTCCTTAGTGGACAGAAACAACTATAGCAGAAGTTATTTGATCAAAGAGGAAAAGTCGTAATTCCCGTTCACATTAAAGCCATCCTCTTCAACTTTTCCCATTAAACAAGAGTTTTAAATGAACACAAATAATTAAGTGCAATTTCTCAAATGAAATATGTGCAATTAATGCAAACATAAACCACATATAATGCTAGAGTGTTTACCGACTCCAGATAAGATAAAAATCAGAACAATGTGAGTTCTACTGAGGGTTAGGGAAATACTTCTGCAGGACTTGTCCTCTCTTTGCCAAGCCCGTAATAATACGAAATGGTAAATCAAATCCTGTGTAATTTACTGTAACCCCCAAACTAACAAGTGCTGATCCATTCCTACTTATAGAACCCATAAGGGAGTCATATCCTTTGTGTTTCAATTGAACAGTTATTACTTAGAATTATTCCTGCACATGGTTCATGGAATGCAGGGCTTTCACAACAAGCCTTTTAGTCACCACTCTGGAACATAAAGAGTGATTCTACCGAAAGGAATGGAAAGGATGAGTTCTACAAAGAGCCACGCTCAATCTGAATGTTTGTCCTTACAGTACAATACACTATAGCAATTTAAACAGAAAGATTAAATCATTTTAAAATCTACTTATATTCTTCTTCAGGCTGGAAATTTAATCAAAAAAGTATGCTTGGTCAAAAGATGAAAAGATCCCAGTGTAGACAGGATTAAAATTATAAATTAGTGCATCAGTTTCAGCCTTTTTGCTGGAAAAATGGTGGTTGCTCTTCCGGGCTGCAAAATATTAGAGAATATGAATTGTTTTATATTATCATCTTGTACAATTCCAATTCTTTTATTAACTAAGAGACCCTAACTCTAAATATAATTCAGAAACTTCCAGAGTATTACAGTTTAGAGGTATGTCCCAACTTAAAGCTTCTCTAAATCACTATTTTTGAAGAGAACAAGGGAAATGCATTTGGCTGAAATTGGCATTGGTAAAATCTCAGCTTTATATCGGGTAAAGATAGATGACTTTTTCACAAGACACAAGGAACTGGTTGGAGGTTATTGTGAAATAAGTCTTTTATGTTCAGTGTAGTTGAAGTAAGAGTACAATTTTCAATATTACAGCCCCATGTTTAGCTATTCAGCCTAGTAATAAAAATACAATATATGAAATATGCTATATTGTCAACCAATATTCCATTAATATGAATTTCATATTTGCAGTACAAACATTGGTAAAACATGATGGTTTTCTTTTTGCTCTCTTTTTTTTTTAAAGAAATGTTTCATTATATCTACCCATATCCCTTACTAAGGTTACTTACCTTCATTGACAAAGAAGTCAGCTAGGAAAAATGTTACTTTTATAGATATTGAAGAATGTGGAATGCCGGTTGAATTTTTCCATTCAAATGGATTTTTTTCTGGATGCCACTGGACACCATAAATAGGGTACCTGTATGCTACAAAAACAGAAAAGCCTTATCCATCATAGAACACCAAAATCACCCTCTTTATCACCTTCAGAGGCAGTTATTTGAGGATCTTGAAACTGAGTTGACTGATGGCAAGATGGGAAGCATGTAAATTTAATGAATAAAACTTAATAATTAAATACATAGGAACGAAGACTAGAATCTCAAAATTATCAACCAATGTACTGCTCAATAAATCTTCATAAATTAAGAGTCTATGTTGTCAAAATGGATATATTGAAGTGAATTCTTGTTACAGCAGCTTTCATGACAATGTCTCTTTTCAGTATTGATAGTAAAGACTTACAGGTCTACTTTTTGAAGATTAGAATACAGACCAGAGACCACTGTGCCATTTATTCCAGTATTGTCTGTTTTGGCAGTAGCTTACTTCTTTGCTCACTTGCTCACTTGACTATGATCAGTTTAACTAAAGGTATTAGAGTTAGTGCTCTATTGCTAAACTATGATCCCACTGAGCTTTCAACAACTCTTTTAAAAGTGCAATTAAGAAATAGTAATATATACTACTAATTTAACTAACTAAACTAACATAAATTAAGAATACAATAATTCCAATTTGATAAGACTTTTTCATCTACCAATAATCTGAAAGCTAAAGAATAATATACTATCACTGAATATGAGAATATTTGCAACTGTCTTCTTCCAGTTGATGTTTACTTTGTGAAGTACAATTTACATTAACTTCCACTAACATAAGAAAGCTGTAAGAGCATAGTAAGAGTTTTAGTCAGACATACGAAAGTATAGAAATAAGGGAGAACAATAGATGATGCCTACAGAAAATTTAAGTCATTATTATTTCAGCCTATTTTCTCCACTAATGGAAAATCTGTAAAATGACATCATTCTGTTGTATGTTTTATAATTCTCCTTTGTTTTGTTTGTAAAAATAGAACAGTAGAATGCAATGACCTCACAAAACACATCTTGCAGTTTTAAATGTATAAGGAAAAGAGAGAGGCAGAATAAGCTCTGGAATCCATCCTATATTATTTGAACAAATGGGATTGCCTGTCCCACTTCTTTACTGTGACCACAGCAGTTTCTGTCCCACTTCTTTTCTGTGACCACAGCAGTTTCTTCAGCAGATGTTTTGAAAAAGGTAGAAAAAAAAAAAGAAAATCTATTCCACCATTTTGTCAGTGCAAAAACTTTACTGGATTTCACCAATAGGCTGCCCATTCAGTAGCTACAATTTTTTAGTTCAAGACAGCATTTAGAGGTTAATTAGATTACCTTCCATGGTGGATATGAACTCCACTTTATGAAAATTAGTTGTCAAAATCTTATAAAAGTTGCGCAGTTTCTCATTTTTTGTGTAGTTCTGTAAAAAAAAAGGTAACCATTATTTTTAAAATAGGACATTTTTATCTGCATTATTTTAATAAGGACAAGCCAATATCACAATTTCTCTGTAGTGCCCAGGTGGGTCCTTTCTCCAACTTTGCACCATTAGAACTTATTCAGTCCAAATTCCTAAATTCAGCCTTTCAATGTGTCTCTAATGCACCTTGAGACCAGAGATAGGTCTCACAAAAGTAGAGGCTAGTGTATGGGCAACCATACTCAACTACTAGGCAAACTACTTTTTTCCCCTCTTGGTCTTGCCCAAATAACTATGAGGGATGGTTTTCAATTCACATGGAAAAACAACAGTGGCAAGTAAAATCTCATCATTGGAATTCTTTCCTTCTATTCAGCATGTGATATGATCAGGCCAAAGCTCTCAATAAACACCATTTATCAGACACAGAGTACCAATTGGACCTAGCCAGGTTCGCAACCTTTATCATCAATGAGTTCAACAAGTACTCTGCCTCCTCCATGGCATACTTCACAAATCTTTAAGTACCTAACAACCCAAGGGCCTTTATTCTGACAAAATGTCAGGCCTTCTCATCTTTACAATTTTAAACCTTCCTGCTTTCTCAGATACCAATTCTGATACAATATACAATGGTGCCAGATTCTTCACACTTAAAATTATGTCAGATCTGTGCCATGAATCAGGTTCAATGAGCAGCTAGACCATTATTATAGAGTGCATTGTAGTATGATGAATCTACTTTGCCAGGCATTTTTATGCCCGTTTATTGGTCCTACCCCTCCTTTTAGACTTTTTTAGATTTTTTTTAGCTTTTTATGTAATTTTATTTTTGCATTTTATATTTTTATGCTTTTAAATTCCTTGTTCCCCAACCTTCTTATGTTGGTTTTTGACCGTAATTGACAAGAAATTACCTGCATGGATAGGCTCCAGAAATGAAAGTGTGAAGATACAGGCTCTGATGCTAACCGTTCATATATCTCTTCAGGAAAATCCTGGAACATCTTACTGTGTTTTGAAGCTTATGCCAAAAGCAAAACAAAATGAAACATCACTCATCAACATCAAGAAGATCAATGATTGGGTTCAAATTCTAGACTAGGCTACATACCACAATTTGTAAGCCATAGTCATTATATTCACCAACTTGGTAAGTCAAAATGCAATATCTTACCCAATGCTTTACTGACTTGTGTCAACCAAAATTGCCAACTGACTGCTGGACACTCTTTTGCTTGCTCAGATTTGGACTGCCTCTGTCCTTCTTAGGCAGATGGCCCCATAACCCTTCAGCTGCAGAGATTTGTATCAAATGCTTGATTATGTCCAGCAGCCAATCCTGAGGGACTTTTTTGATATGCTCACATATGAAGATAGTGATAGATAATGAAAGATAGATAATGAGAGCCTGAATCGGACTCTAAATTTTCTTATTCTTGATTCAGGTTTTATACACTTAAAGTATTATTAGTGTCGTGATTATTGAAATATATTGTCTTTAACACATATTTTAAAACAATTCCTTATAAACAGCTTTTCAATTTAATCCAGAAAACGATTACCCATATATTTCTGGAGAAATGAGTGTTACAACAGTAGGGAGCTAGGAATTACATTTCATTGTTCCTAACTCAGTACTCCTGTCATTAGATGGAATGTATGACATAAGTGCCTTTTTCCTTTCTATTCTGAACAAGCAGAAACTTCTATTACTATAGCGAAAAGACATTGTCAGCACAGAGGTTGAGTACTTTTTAGCTGCACTAGATTTGGACTAGATCTTCAGGAGCTAGCCACAAGATAAGAGGCAGAAAGACACTGGTCCCCCCAACTACAAATACACCCTTCTCTTCTTTACCTTTGAAAATGTTATATTATTAGGAAAAACTATTGAATATGCTGAGCTCTGTCAAGAATTCTTATTGCATTTCTACTACAAACAGCTAAGAAAATGCAGCTATTCTGTTCGCTTCCATAAGGGGAAAAGTTAGCTGTCCTCTGTCTTGCATTCCTCAAACTATTTCATTGAGCTCCAGCATTCATTTATGCAGGGGTCGCCAACCTTTTGGACCTCAGGGACCACCGAATTCATAATTTTAGATCCCAGGGACCACTAACCGGTTCTGTGGGCATGGCCTAATTTGTGGGTCTGGCTTGGTGGTCGTGTGATTGGCTGGGCATGGCTTGTTTGTAAATATTATAAATATTTATATAAATATTGATTTTTTTATAAAAAAGAGCAACTTTTACCCAAAAACAGGCAAAGCAGGCAGGCAGATTGAGTTGCTCACAGAATCACAGATTCATTCAGAAATCTATCTATCTGCCATTGGCTAGCTCAGTCTGTCACATAAAATTTGTTTGCAAGCAAACTCACAAAATTAACTCACAACACACCATGCATGTAAATATTTTTTTTATAAAAAAAGAGCAACTTTTACCCAAAATCAGGCAAAGTTGAGTTGTTCCCAGAATCATTCAGTGATCTATCTATCTGCCATCGGCTAACTCAGTCTCTCAAATTTGCTTGCCGTGAGTCTGCACTGAATTTGCTTGCAAGCAAATCCTAAGTCCTAAGGGAGGTTCGGCTGTGCTGAGCCGAAGATCTAAAGACTAGCTAGCAAGCAAGAAATCCAACCACTTCCTGCTCCTAGCTAATCTAAATCTCCCAGCACAGCAGAACAGATGATGGTCGGAAAAAGGGAAAATAGCAATTTAGCAGGCAAGTTTACTGGGTAAGGAATGAGTGGGCGGGGAGGGTTCCCACAGGCCATGTGGGTGGCGCAGCCTTGTATTTCTGCACAGCCTGAATTAATTGCTTTGTGGGGGTGCTCTGGGGGTGAAATTTCTCAGCAGTCCACCAATTTTCTCACAGACCACCAGTGGGCCGCGGTTGGCGACCGCTGCATTAATGCATCAATTCTATGATTCCCCAGAAGAACTTAAACCATGTTCTATTGGCTAAAACTTGTGAATTTTCACCTTGAGTAAAATTCAGTGGCATTGTGAAGCCATTTGTATTTGTCCGAACGAGCAAGTTTTCTCCACTCGTGAGATAGGTGAGCAATTGATGTCCCAGGCATGTTCCCCAAATGGGAAAATAATCTTCTCTGTCATTGGCCTAGAAAATGGCAATAGGAAAAAATGGCTAGATCAATACACAAAACCATAGACAAGTCACTAAATGTTTTGAATTATAACATCCATCAATCCCAATCAGCAGTCATCACATTAGAACTATATTTGACTTCCAAAATCATCCAGCTAGGAAAACCTTTATTCTCTATTAAAACAACAAAGCAGTCTAGATATGACAGATTTTGCCTTGAGAGAGGAAAGGGGGGATATAAACTAAGCAAACAATCAAAATTAAATTAACACAATTAACTATAGCTTTGAGAACAGAGCAGATGATTTTGGGCAATCATTCCACAAGTAGGTTTTGTTAATTAAATTGACATATTTTCTTTTCAAAGATCAATGTCCAGTTGTTTATAATTAGGAGAAACATAAGCATTGATTCACCCATATCCTGCATGAAGTATTCTGTTCAGTGATTAAACTAATACAGACTAAAAAGATGCTATGGACAAAGGGTATTTAATATGCTGTTTTAAGACAATAAGATTTATTTTTTAAACGCATCTATCAGAACTATTTAATTTACATGTATCACACACTCATCAAGATAATCCTGTTTTACACCGTCAATATATCAGTTGAAGCACACACACCCTATTGACTATTGAAGCACACATACCTCTTTGACAAGATTGAAAAAACTGACAAATGTGTAACATGAAGCAGGGGTGTCAAACTCGTGTTGTCATAGAGGTGTCACTTGACGTATCAGTACTTTTCCCCCCTTTGCTAAACCAGGCATGGGCGTTTAATGCATTCGGGCCGCGGGCTGCGAGTTTGACAGCCCGGACCATGTCTCAAACATTAATGCAGCTTGACTTGAATGATACAATGCTTACCTCTAGTGCTTTTGTATAGAATATTTTAGCCACTCTGGAAAATTCAGAAGTTGCAAGATCGACACCACCTCCTGGAAAAAGTAATCTAAGAAAATATGGTTATAACCATTTTATTATCAAGAACAACTTCCCAACTGATCTCAGTTAAATGAGGGTTATAAAAGAAGTTTTAATATACACAACAGACTACCAGTAAGTGCAACTTAAGCTTAATTTCAGCTTCTTCTTCAATAAGTCTGCAGTTTAAGTTTATTGCTTTAAAAGTCCAGTGTCTAAAAGGTCTTCACAGTTCTAGTCTGCACTTACTTTAAATGCAAACTATAATATTTTTTCAGGAGCAATCAGTGTTACACTTATTAAAAAAACCAGCAAAACAGATGAACTACCATTCTGAATATATATTTAGCTTTGAGCTAAACAACATTCAGTCCTTCAGAAATCACACTTCCAAACTTTCTGCATCATTAAAATGTTGCAAAGCTCACTGATACATTCCTATTTGCATTGCTACAATTTATTATGCTCAGTAACTCTTTCATTTACCAAGAACTTTACAAATTTTCTCAAATTTTGTTCCTTATAAGGTAAGCTGTTCTCTGTAATAGTCACCCGATGAATTTTTCTAGCTGGAAACTAAAATCAAGACCTTCAGTATTATTTTCATATCCTGATACTCCTTCCACTATAATTAACTTACTGTTAGACTTACCCATTTATAGAACGGAATATCTCATCATACTCTTCATTGGAACGATTCAATCTATAATAATTGAAATGAACATTTCTAGCATAAGTATATATCATTCCAATGTCAGATGAGAATTGTCTTAGTCACTAAATACAAATAAAATTCATCTTTAGTAACACCTGAATGGTTACTTTATATGAAACAACTACTCAAAATAAGATTTAATAACTTTCTCACAGTAGATTGACTAGAAAGTTAAATGAATTATACATATTATGATAAAAGAAGCCTGAATTCAAACTGATCGCTGAATCACTTTGGGATACTAATAATTTTTATTGGCATTGCAATGTTTTTAATGGGATTATTGTGATGGCAACTTTTTCGTCGAAGAATCTTTAGGCAACATATATGATTAGTCCTGGATTATCCATCTTATTTTCAGAACAATCTGATTAACCCCAGTGATACTTTGGGCGGGTGGGAGAATATATTTATATCCTTTTGTTTAGGAACTTAAAGCAGTGTGTATTGATCTTCTTCCTCTATTCCCCTCCACAACAACCCTGTGAGAACAGCTGAACTAAGAGGAATCTGCTTCCATGCCTGAGCCAGACCTGAGCATGAGTTTCCCCAATCATGGTCCACCATCTTAACCACTACACCACTGGATCTCATAATGGTGAGTTTCTGAGTAGCAATTTGAATGCAGACATCCCCATTCCTAGTTTAAGACTCTAATTACTACATATGACATCATACGTGAGTGCGATCACGCCAGTAAAGTATTACGGTATTTAATTCCAGTCCTGGAATTCCAGATATTTAATTACAGTTCCTAAGCAGTTTATTCACAACAGCTGCTTATAATTCCCCAACATTGAATATTAAGTCCTAAATACATTTCTCTGTAATATTATTCAGTATTACATGGTATCTTGAAGACAAATTTAATTATATGTTTTTTTATGACTGGCATATCATGTGAGCAGGTTGTTCTTAGCAGCTTACCTTACTGGTACTACTCTTGCTCCAGCTGATTCGATGAATTTCACGTAAGAAGCAGCAATATAAGAACTTCCAAACTTCTGAAAAGGTTTAAAAGCTTCCTGAGCTAATATTCCTAAACCATTCAGAAAAAGAGAATGTATATTATATATTTGTGCCACTCTAAGTCTAGTACGTAAGACTGATGATAAAATAGCTGAGCTGTACTGATTGATATATTCCACAGTATTCAATAATTGCCTGAATCTTTTCAAAAATAAATCTATCTCAGCATCACATGTCCTGTGCAAAAGAAAAGTCACATGTTTCTACAGATATGTCCCTATCTGTGGCTATCTGACAATCCATATCAGTATAATTTGCTATTCAAAACAGTATTTTAGTGAAATTCTGCAAAATCAAGAAAGGGACAAAATGACAAATACATCTTCCCCTGAAATTTTCCATATGAGAAATGTGAAATGGCCTTAACAAAGACAGAGAATATGAGTCTATAATGCTGTCAGGATTCCGGCAGTTACCCGCATTTAAATCATGAGTCTCGAGTCAAACTTCCAAAACTTAAAAAGGATTTATTGTCCAGCATTGCCTGGGTGTAGCCAACTCTGAGGCACATAATTCATTGTCACCCTTGACCCTGGTTTTCCCCCACCCCCTGGGTGTATCGTAATTCATATTCTCCAATGGGACACATTCATAGCCAAGAGTCATCAATCATGCTCCCCAGTTAGAATTTTGTGCGGCAGAAATCTCAGTCACCTAGTTACTATCTTTGAAAACATTTATGGAATGCAGTTTCAGTTTGCAAACTGCTGCACTGCTCCCCCCTCTCTTTCTGTTGGCAACTCTAAAAAGACCACAGAAATATTTTATGAGTTGACACATACATCAAACTATTTCTTGTAGAGGTGAGCAATGAAATGCATAGCATAAAACAAGGGACCATTTTAAGATAAGCACTTCGTGCTGTGGTTCAGGCTTCAGCTTTTCAAAACCTTTTGGAATACCACTTTTAATTCCCAGCCAGGATGGACATCTGGGTCACGCTGGCTGGAGTTCTAGAAACTTTGGTCATACCACTTGGTTGCCATTAACCTTTAAGTACTTTTTTAGAAATCCAGTTTGTTTAAACATGAAATGCCTTTGTCTTTGACTCGGTTTACTCTTTAACATTTAGTATAAATTTTGCATATATGTTTGCTATATTGCTTCTAGGAAAGAAACTGAACATCCTCATTTATTTTATTTAGGGTGTGTTTGGGTGTGTACAAGGTGAAATCCTTTCAATGTTTTCCAGTAAATTTTGCAATGTCTCAGCATGATCCATTGCACAACTATTAGAGTCATTTGATCAAAACATTCCAAAATGCTAGCTGAACAGTCCTCCACGAAATGCTGGATTTGATCTTTGTTCCAAGATTTCAGTGACACAGTAAAAAGGTGATTAGAAATAAAATAGCAACTTTAAATAGGAACAGATTCAAATCACTAACAATTTTATAAATCCACTTGAAACTGATACAAGTAGTCCTCAATTTATGACCACAATTGAGCCCAAAAGTTGCTAAGTGAGAAAGTTGTTAAATGAGTTTTGCCCCCATTTTATGATCTTTCTTGCCACAGTTGTTAAATGAATCACAGTAATTGTTAAATTAGTAACACAACTGTTAGGTGAAACTGGCTTTCTCATTGATTTTGCTTGTGAGAGGATCACAGTATGTGATCACATGACCCTGGGACAATGCAACTGTACAAATATGAGGCAGTTACCTCATGAGCATACCTTTTGAGCATGTGACCATGGGGAACTTGCAATGGTCATAAGTCACTTTTTTCAGTGCCATTGTAACTTTGAACAGTCACTAAACACACTGTTGTAAGTCGAGGATATCTGTACTAAAAATCAACAGTATATAATACTTTTATTATACTATCTATGTCATATATTTGATATCAATACAATAAGAGCCAATACATGTATTGACTACAACTTCCATAATTCTCAGACAGTGTGGAATTAGCGTAATTATAGTTCAAAATATTTGAAGAGCAAGACGGTTGATGTGTAGAAATATAATACAATATTGAAACGACTTATATTTTGTATGTTATTGTTTTACAAGAATCACTTTGTACTTGAACTCCAAAACATAATTTGTAGAATCCTTGATGCTTGCAGCTATTTCATTACCCAAAATAGATAACATCATCAATGTTAGAAAGGAGTAGGGTTTGCTCTTATTTTAATATATTTTTATATATTAGTGGCTTGCCCTGTCAATGTTGATAGGAGTCGTTCCTCGATTAGGCTGTTTACTGTTAGCTCGTTAGTCTATGTCAGTAGCTCCTTGATTGGGGTATTGTTTACTTTTTGATTTTGTACTAGAGTTGTAGATCAATGTCTTTATAGCTGCTATTCATTTATATATTTATTTCAGGTCTTTGCTTGCAAGCTGCAAATCTTAATTTGCCATTTATCACTATCCCATTATATTCCTCATCAAGTTCCAAAAAAGCTTTGATGATGTAAAGTTGGAAACAAAATATTTGGACAATGAAATAATTTTTGATCAATTTAATCAGATCAATGCAAGTACTTTCTCATTCTAGAAGATCGATGATTGGTATTACCTAGAGTTCATTTTTTGTCATTTTTGCATGATCTTCATAACTTAGAGCACTCTAGTTATGCATATTACTACTCCAACTGTCTCTCTGCCATCTCCCATTGCTCTTCCTTTCTACTGTTCTTTCTAGCAGCATCCTTTGTATATTGATGCATCTGATATGCTTTACATATTTCAATAAAGGTGGGTCTTTTATCACTCCAAGAGATTTTCAAAATCCAAGAATGAATCACAAATATTTCATTTCATGTTTGATTATGTATTATCTTGGCTAACTATTCTTTTAAAAACCTCATTATTCTAACCTAGCTCCAACCACATTTGTCTGAGTTTATATTCCCTTTATTTTATATTGGCACTAACAGGGGAAAACAGGTAGAGCAAGAACATCATCTATCCAGATTTCCTATTCACGCCTTAGGACTTCTTCCAATAAGCCAATGTAACGGATTTCGGTGGGAGGAATAAATTTACTAGCTGAAGTAAGGTTAACTTTAAGGGCAACCATTCAAAAGAAAAATCACAGCGAAGACTCAGAAGATGCTGTCATTTTAGCCACATAGCCGCGACGAAAACTATAAAGATCTGCCTCCCTCTCTGAGAGAGCGAGAGAGAAAGAGGCAGAAACACGACTCCTACTCTTAATCTGACTTTCTCAACCCTGAAGTCCCGGATGGCTAACTGTCAGCTTCCTGCAATATCAACGCCCTTCTACTTACCAATAATCGGTCGCTCGTTCTCACTCCGCAGCACAAAGGAGACCACGGAGCAGCAGCAGCAGCAGAAGGCAAGAAGCCCCCAAGCCCCGCGAACTTGTTGCAGCCCACTCGCCATGGCTGGCATTCGCCCAGCTCACTTGAACTCCGGTCAGTTCTCGAAATACGCCCGCTCTGCAAAAGCTGTTTCAACACCGGCAGACGCGAGCCACCTTTTGCAACACCGCCCACTCTCCGCCGCCAATGGCATGCTGGGAAATGTAGTCTAGAGGGAACTGGTCTTTTCCCCCTTCCGTCTAGAACTCTCATTTTGTTACTTCTCAAGTTGTTTTAAATGAAGAATAAATGAAAAAGATTTGTGTGGATGTAAGGGAGCTTCAAAAATATATATATTGGGGAATGGATTTTTCTGCCCGTTCAAGAAGTAAGGAAATTCCGTGAAAATTAAGAAAAAGTTCCAAACAACTATTCTCAAAATTGATTATATAAATGGTTACTTGATCATAGCTTAAGTGTACAAACATCGACGATCAACGGCTGCAACTAATAGAGTGCAGACTACTAAAAGTGGGCATAGAAACAGAAAAGACTAATAAAATTAATAGTAATAAGTAAAAGAAGTAAAAAGTAAAGGTAGTAAAAAGGTAGTATAAGGTTTAGCGTAGATTCCTAAATTGGTTTGCATGTAGTACAAGTATTATGTGTATTACTTCGTACATTTAAGTAAACCACTCATTATGTGCATAATGTTTAACCTATTTTTGAATAGGTTAAATAGGTTAAATTTAAATGAATGGGAGAAGATATCCCTACCTAGTTTAGATGTGGATTTCACACACAGGATATGTGACAAACTAACATTTTTTGAAAGGTTGGAGTTAAACACCTCCACACTGACAAACTCTGTGTGCATGAACATGTGCTTTAAGTGTAGGATGATACATAATAAGAGAAAGTTTCAGCACTATTCAAAGCCTCCTTCAGCTCTTGCTGCATTGCTATACTCTAGGATGATGGGCATCTTCATACACTGACTTCCTTGTCGCCTTCCCCTGCCCCCTCAATAGCAGAAAACTACTTTGCTTAAATTGACCCACAGCACTCCTTATTGGCCTTATTACTTGGACAGATTAGATTTCACCTATTGGGACAAAGCAAATTATGGCAATATACTTTTGCGCCATTGTGTGGATTACAGGAAAGCATGTTAAAGCAGCAGTCTGTATATCTTTCCCAAGCAGCAGTCTGTATATCTTTCTCTTTTGGGCTGCACAAATATTTGTTTTCTGAGTCTTTTTGTTGCCATCTAATGATAGGAAGGTTGACTCAGCCTTCCATCCTTCCAAGATAAGGTAAAATGAGGACCAAGATTGTTGGGGGCAATATGCTGACTTTGCAAATTGCTTAGAGAGGGCTGTAAAACATTCCAAAGTGGTATATAAGTCTAAGTGCTATTGCTATATTCAGATTTTGGTAGCACAGACTTCACATTCTAGTGACATGTCATCCCGAATCATATCCTGATTGTTCATGTGAAAAGAAGGGAGAAGATGGGAAAGTATATTTTAGAATAATGGTACCAGTACCATGCATCCTTCCCATGTGTAACATAGTTGTCTCCCACAAAAATCTATCAATGAGTAATAAAAACTGACCTGATCATATCTCTATAAAAGGAGGGAAGAATCATACATAAATTTATATATTATGGCTTTGTGTGGTTTAAACACTTAAAATCTGTTCTTCTTTGGTAAAAAAAAAAGATTAATAACAGTGTTTGAAGCATTATTTTTGTTTGTTTCCTATTCTACTGTATAGTATATATTCTGGATATCCTTGGTTCTTTTCCCCCCTACTTTATGGTTTTCTTACTTTTTAAACTGTAAGCTGCATAGTCTCATCTTCAGTTGGGTTGCCTTTGATTTTAATAAAATAAATAAATGCAGTGGTGACAAGCAAGCCAGTATGATCAACTTTGGGATTGCCAATTATTCATGTTCATGTCATAAACGGCTTCCAGAAAATTGCCACTGTCTCTGGAACCCTACAGTCACAGGGTGAAACTGCTGAAATATAAAGAATCATTCTCTCTGAGCAAGAGTCAATGTTACATTATGAATGAATGCATAATGAAGCCTCATGACCATTGCAAATCAGAAATTGGAGGCATAAATAAGATTTAAGTCAATCAGAATGACGTACTTCCCTATGTCAACTATTAACTGGCACAAGCACCTGTCCTGCTCCATAGTTAGTGTGTAAACATAGGATGTTGAATTACTTTAGAAAGTTACTAAAGTTACTTTACACAAGCACATACAATTAAATAGGAATGTACTGCACACATAGGAACTTGTATGCTGAACAAATGACAATAGTTATTTAGGGCAATTGCGAAGTTAGAAGCATACATGGAAGAATTCAAAGTTCTTTGCTCATCTAGTTGGAAGATATTCAATACTATATGAATATAACCCCAAAATTTACTGAATAAAAGACAGTTATAAAAGGCTTTATATTATTAACACTTTATTATATGTTAATAGTTTTTAACATTTGTTCAAAATAACCAGAGTAACTTTTATAAACATGCAAATTGCATAGTAGAACTGCAAAAGACAAATTAAAAATACAGTATAAACTAGCATCTAGAGCTCATCATTATTGAGTTAATTGATTTCTTGATATTGCAATTTTATGTATGCTAA